AGCAGGAGAATGTCAGGGCACTACTGCTCTTTTCTGACATCAACTGCATGAAAGAAATAGCATAAAGTAACAATGCTGTAGGTTATCTAATACAGCAGTATTTTTTATTGCTGTGGAACAGACACTCTGTATGCCAGTGAGATATACTTTTAAAATGAGTATATACTTCCTAAAATTAATTCAGTTTATGATCTCTGTTGATCCTGACTCAGTGCCAGCTAGATTGAGTTGGTGTCAGCAATATTGATGCCGTAGTTATGAAGAGATGAATGACAAGATGAGATGATCACGGTGCTTTTAGGCAGCAGTAGTGATTGAGCTGGTTTAGGAGCAGGAAGTGTAGATGCAGGCTCAGCATTTCACTGCTCATCCTTAGTGTTCTGCTGCTGCTTAAACCTTTCTCTCTTACGGCGTCTGCTGTGAGACTAGCTGTCAAGGAGGCCCAGGGAGAGACAATCAGTCAAACAGATTTCTGACTGATTATTTTTATCCACTTCCCCTGACCCTTGGTGAAAAATCACTGGATCGTTTGCTGTGGAGCTGGTTCTCAGGTGTTAGACTGAGTTTTATGCTCCAAGAGAGTTACTCCTGTCAGCTGCGCATCAGATGGTAAAAGCTGCCTGGGCAGGGATAAGTCTTGTTACTAAAACTAGAATGATTTAACTTGCTGGTTTAATAAATCTAGTAATAAGAGAAATAGTAAGTAAGAGAAAACTCACCTACTAAAAGACATAAATCTAAAACTTGAAAAACTTCTAGACTGTTTAAAGATTTATTTCCTTGTATTGGATTCAAGGGGGGGTATCCAAACAGCAGAAAACATGGCTAGTTAATGACAAACAGTACTTAAGTTCAAAGGCCAGAATAACTAATCAGCAAATATTATGTCTAGAGATTTTTTTTTCTCTTTATTATTTGTAGTTGTTATCTGTGTGGTTTTTTATCGTTTTGAGAAATGAAATAAATCAAGGTGATTCTTAACGACATATATTGTGTCCTGGTCTGAACTGGACGAAGTGCTCGCTGACCTTGAAGCCTGCAATGGCTTTGCTCCAAAGATAAGCTTGCCTGCTTCTTTGCATGCCCATCGAGAGTGCTGTAGAAAAGACTTGAAACTCATAAGAAATATGAAACACTGAATGAAAAACACTAGAGGTAATGTAGTTGTTTAATGTGGACTTCTAAAATGAAAGTTAAGCTAGTTTGTATGTTAAAGCTCTCCTCTTCCAAACTTCCTGTTAGAAGAACCAAATGTTCAGAGAGTATTTGCTTAGTGGTATGTTATGGAAACCGTGTCGTAGATTCCAGCTTTTTTAGCTACATTGTGCTCTGAGTCAGATTGACAGGGTTTTATTTTAGCTGGGACTGAGTTGAAAGCACTTCGGAAATAGTAGGTACCTAATGCAGAAGTTCTCGCCGGATCTCTACAACAGCGTTACCTTCTTGGAAAGCCTCTCACAGGTATTATGTTCTTCATGTTCTCTAGAGTTTTAAGAATTGGTGGATTCTCTTTATCTCCAAACGAAGCCAACAGAACTAATGCATGTAACAACTGTGTCTATAACCACCTCTTCTGCTTTTTATTTTACTTTGGAAGGGCACTTATAAACATGAAGTCCAAACCTATTGTAAGCAGGGTGTGAAGTTGATACTTCAGTGGCCTAAATAGACTGTGGCATTGTAATGTCAGTGCTTATACATGCTTCAGCCCTCAAGATACCCGTTTCTCACTCTGTTGGACCAAATACAGTATCTTTAGTTTAGGACTGTGATGAGGAATTTTTCCCCTCTCATTCAGCTGTACAAACACCCAAGATTATCTGCTTCAAAAGCACACTTTTGTTGTATAACATACCTGTTCAGAACTGACTGACTAAGAGAGGTAACATTTTGGCGGGCTTGACCAAAGGTAATTCAGGGACAAGTTTTACAGATGAAATTTTGCTGTTTGATTTCATTGGGATTGGATTTTACCCGAATGCTTTTAACTCATCCTTCCACAACTGCTCACCCTCCCACAACCACCCCCCCAGGTAATTTGTAGGACTGAGGCTTCAGCATAGGAACATAATTCATAGAACATTTGGCAAGAGAGAGCTGTGAATAAATACAGCAAAGGATGGGGAAATCTAAACCTGGATTACGATGAGCTGTTCACGGGAACTTTATATAACATGGGTAATAGTAAAACCAGGAGTAATTAATAGAAAGTAGATTCAACTTCAGAAAAAATTTCCAGCAAATCCACAAGGTAATGAGAAAGTATGTTACCATGACTGTAAGCTCTCCAAGATACTGATGGAGAGATCACTCAATGGGTTTAATGGAAAAGCCAGGCCCACACCAGAGACAGAGGATAGATTGGACCTGGGAGGATCTTGTTTCTCCATTTATAATTCTAATTATTAAGCATGTTGTATGTTGTCCCTGAGTAGGAAGCCAGTTAGACAAAAGGTGCAGCACTACTAAAAGGGCGCACAGGGGAGGGAGTTGGAGCAGTGCCTTCTGTCCCTGGGAGGGATCTCTAGCTCTCCTGTGATGGCTGAAATTCATTCAAACACTTAAAATAATCACCCCATAAGATGATTAAAAAGTCAGAGTTTGGGGGTGGTGGTGACGTTAAGTAATCAAAGCTGCCAACTGGAAAGACATGGGTACCCCTCAAAGGAGGGAGGGATTCAATGAAAGAACAGATTTTTTTTTTTTCTTTTGCAAGTATAGGCAGCGTGTGTTTAGTTACAGTGCTTTGTAAAACTTCAGTGTACAAGGACTAAATGCCATGCAGATTTAGGACAGGCAAGAGCTTGTTAAATAAGCACCATTCACATTTAAGTGGAATTAGGAGAAAGCTGAGAATTTTCTCTTTCTTAGTTGTAGGGTGCTCAGTGAGGTAAGTTGTGGTTTTTTTTTTTTAAATACACGGATAACATAATTTCAGTGTACTTCATGCATTCTCAATAGCCATATTTCAAATTTTTTTTTAAAATGTGAAAATTTTCTTTCATAAGCAGGATGCAAGGAAAAAGATTCAAGGTACACAGGAGACGGTTGTTTTCTGGTTAAGTTTCACAGATGTAATTCTTATGCAAGCTAAATCGTCCTAACTGTTATCTGCATGTGTTGTTACTACATCAGGAAAATTGAATTCACTGTCTCCTGGTGTGTTTCAGGTCGGCAAATTCCACCCTTAGATCCTCATGAAAACGGTAACAATGGAGCAATCAAACTTGGAAAGCAGACTTCACAGACGGGTAGGCGGTGCTGCTGACCCAACTTGATCTTTTTAGAATTACTTGAAAAACAGCACCGTTTGCTTTTTTCACTGAGGAAGGACTTCATGATCTCAGTGACGTGGCTCCTTATCTTGAAAGCAGTGATTTCAATACTTCCCATGATCAATAATGCAAGGACCAGAAGCAGAAAGCTTTACTTCAAAGGGATTTTGCAAAACCTAGTTGGAAAATCCTCTCTAGTATCCTGTCAAAATTACAATGTCAAAGTGCTCCGATTCTCTGTTTAAGCCAATGACTGTTGGTTCTTTTTTTTAATAAAAAAGTCCTTTTATATATAAATTCTAGATTTGCTGCAAAAACTTCTCTTCTTACATTGCAAAGTGGACTTGGCATGTTTTTAGAGTCTGTAATAATAGGGTGAAAAAAAAACCATAAACCATGATTTTTGGCTTACGGTTTCTCTGCCATCTTTCTAGCTGGACTCTGCTTCAGTGTTTTTCTAAATCTGTAGCTTCATCTCGTACTTTCAGTAAACATCAGCAAGAATGGACTGAGTTTGCTAACTAGAAAAAAAAAATGGATCCAAAGGATGTGTGAGTGCAATTTTTACAGACTAGAAGTCAAAATCTGTGTCAGGAGGTGCTGTGTATGTGAAAGAAGGGAGTTGTCATGAAGGAGACTGCTGGACCCCATGCAGTTCCAGTCTGCTCTGGAAAGAAGTGAAGATGCAGCCACTGTGCTTTGCCTGAATTGATTCCCTTTCTAGGGCGTAGGCTTCACTAATTACTGAAACTGTAAAAAGAACGCAAACGCCAGCTTAATCTCCACTGCTTACCAGGTTTTCTCCAAATCTGTGCCCCAGACCAAAGTTGTTTCTGCTCAAAGACGCCACTTCCTTGGTTTCTAAAAGAGTGCCACACTGCCCCACTCCTTCGTGGTCTCACTGCAGCGCTCCAAGAAGTCTTCGAGTTGGAAGAAGCTGATTTCATACAGAAATATCTTAAGAGAGCACAATATAATTTGGGGTTAAAGGCTGGAATCTAATAAAACAAACCAGAGCATTTCTTTACAAATGCAATTCTGTGAATTTGTGGAGTAGTCTCCTCACCCATGTGGGGATGCGGTATGGAAGACCCACTCTGTGATGCCTTTGAAGCTTGATGCACTTAAAAATACAGTGTAGAAAAAAACATCCAATAGGTGGTTATGAACTAGAAATAACGTAAAACTCTATGTATTCTCCACTTCCATCTTTCATGAATGTGTGTGTGACTGACATGATAAAATACGAATTTATCTTCTTCATCAATTTCATTGGAAATTGGAACTAGGGTAAGAATGCAGGCTTCAAAACCAAAGCCTGGCCTGCGTTCCACAACATTAATTTGTTCTGTTATGAGGAAAATTAACCTCGCTGCACATTTGTTGGGGGGCTTATAAAAAGCAAACAAAAGGGAAAAACAACTTTCCACACTAAATCATGAACAGGCGGGCTAGAGCTGGGTTTCTGTGTTTATACGTAAAAAACAGACCTTATTGCTTGGTTGTGAGATTGCTTTCATAAAATGGCGCTAATTATTAGGGCTTGAAACAGAGCCAGATGAAATCAATGGGAACATTTCTTTGTCTTCAGAGGGCTTGAAGTAGTTATAGGTGGGAAACATCCCACTGGATTTTTCCTAAGAATCTAAACTGCATTGTTTTTTCACATATAATCCATTTCTCAGATATTTTGGATTCCTTTGAAAGCACTCATACTTGAAAATACGCCTTTGAATAATACACAGACTCAGACAGCTACCATGAGAAAGGATATTTCTGGTAAACTTTCAGTTGTCACCTGTGCTGATACATGCTCCACGTTGCTGCTTCATCGCAGCAACTATTTTACAGATAATCCAGGCTTACTGAAAGGAAAATTCAGCAATCGTTGTTGATAGTTGGGGAGGGAGACAGGCTCCTTCAGGGAACATTTCATCCCATCCTAGTACAAGCAAGTCTGCCATGGGTGCCTGGCTCTTTCAACTGGTTATGGAGGGAGAGGTTAACCTGTCCTTCAGTGCTGAAGAGATATCAAACTTACCAACATCACAGACTCATATAATTTATGGGATCTATGACCCAATGCTGCAAGAGATCTGGTTCTTCCTAAATAAAACCCAGTAAAAGGTTAGACCTGTTACCAAGAAAACAAGGTGAGATCGAACCCATGTTTTTAAAGGTGTCTTAAATTTTACTTCAACATATAGTAGTTACGCATAACTGATTTTTAGGCTTTCATAAATCTTTGTGGCATATTTCTTTTTTTTTTAATGTGACATCTCAAAACTCATCAAACCCTACTTGAGATGTCTGAAAGTTTTGTAAGACAATTCTACGAGTACCTTGTATACTCTAATTTATGCTAGAACTGGCAACTGATGCTGATCTGTATGGAATAGATACTGTCTTGAACAACCAGCTCTCACAGCTGCCATTGAGCTATATGTGAATCAGAACAGTTATGAGTTATATGCTAAAATAGTTTAAAATTGGAAGTTGTTACAATGGATGTCTGGCAGATTTTAAAATTCAAATGTTGGCTAAGTAGGCTCAAAGATATTTTTGTATTTCGTGGGCCAAATCTAAATCACCTTATTGTGCTCTTAGTCAAGAAAAAGATTTAAATGAATAAGGATTCTGATTGTATAAGTTCTTGAGATTTGGGTTACGGTGAGCTTCAGTAGGGAACTCTGAAAAAATAACTGTGCTGTGCAGAGCAGCTCGCGTTTTTTTTGAAGACGGGGCTCACCTTCGACGATGTTGCCTCTCTGCTGTTCGTCAAAGCTTTAACCTGCCTCTTCAAATGGGGGAATGTTTTGTTTTAAAAATTGTGATTTTTCAAATGTAAAATTCATGATTTCTGCTTCCTTTTGTCTCCTGTGGTGCTTGGAAAGTACCACCACCCTTCATAAACAGCCAGAAAAATGACATACAAAAAAACCCCAAACTCGGAGTCAAAAGTTTCAGCAGCAACTGGAATTCCTCTTAGTAGTTAACGGCCGGTGAAAAACTAAATTACTATACAGGAGCACCTGACTCTGTAGCTGATCTGCTCTAATAATAATAATAATAATAATAACAACGCTGCAGTTCTAGGTTGGCCAGCTGGTGCTGGATTTGTCCAAGACTGGTTTTCTCAAGAGAGCTGGCAGCAGGACTGAAGCACAGGCTGCAGTGCCGAGGATGTTTGGTGGAGCTTGTTTGCACCGTGACTCAAGACTGTGACGGTCCAGTTGTGGGTGACTTGCTTTTCTGGCTTGTCATGAACTAGTTTAAAAACATGATTATGAAGGAACTAGTTTTCATATATGCTCTGCATATGTGTGTGTATATAAGTACAGTTTTATATTGTTATGCTGACATGTAGTGTTTTTTCACTATGTCTGGTTCTCATATACTGCACATTGTATTCTGTAAGTACATTTTTTGTAATGGTTATTTCACCTTTATGAACTTAAAGTTATGGATCAAAGGTAGCAAGAAGACGGAGATACACATAGGTACAATTGTTGACTTGCCATTCTTATGCATGAAAATGGCGTATTATAGAAAAAGTTTGTCTTGCAGACTGAGAAATCTAAAAAAGGCCATTATTATCCAAGAATTGGGACTCAGAAGTAATAAAGTTACACTCCAAAAAAAGAGAAAAGGAAGAAAATTGATTATTTTTGTTCATGGTACAGCAGGTCTATCTAAAGTGCTACAATGTAACATGGGTTTGTATCAATACCTAGAAAGGTTACCTGTCATGCCTTGTCTTCACTAATCCTTCATGGCACGTGGCAATAAGCGCGACTAGATAGATTATACATGCGAGCACTCTGACTATAATCAGACCTTTTCAGTACAGTGATGATATATGTTACTATCCTACCCTTAATTATTTAAACCAGAGTCAGTGATAAATTGTAAGTTTAAAATCACCTGCCTAGTACTCTTCCTCTGTTTTGTTTATATAAGGGCTTTGACTGGGCTGGACCCACTCGCTTCATGTATGGGATGCTACAATCTGTTAATACTTTACCTTCTGTTTTACATATTAATTGTATCATACCTAATAATATTTTTTGCCCTAAAATGTAGGTTTTGTGTTTTATTTAACCCTACAATGATTAATGCTAATAAATGTTCTAAATACCTCTGATTTGGGGATGTCTCTGGTTTCAATGAAGCAGAACAAAATAGGTCCCATTTTTCACATCATTTGCTCTTGAAAAAGGGCTGTCTGCAGTCTGTGGATTGCTTACCTGGGATTTAAATGCTGCTTGAAATGTGTGTGGCTGGCCTTTTGGCAGAAACTGAATGCATTCCTGGGGGATCCTGCAGTGCAGGTGAACTTTCAAAAACCAGAAAAAGATTATCTGAAAATCCCTTTGCTGTTATTTGGTTTATCCATTAGAAGAGAGGTACCTGAGTGGCCAGTATCGGCTTGGAAATTTAGAATAGCAGCTGTCATTAGAAAGTGAGCTTGCAGTTACCACTTGCTTTGAATAGCAGCCATGACTACTGTGGCTCGTAAGACACTTTCTCTTTTGTATGTTTTTTATTTTGGTGGTACGTTTAATTTTTTTTCCTACTTTATGTCCCTCGAACTTGTCTTTAGGAGTTAAGAATTAACACTCCCTTAAGAAGTATGCAGTATTTCGTACCTCTTAGTGCTATTGTTTCAAGAGGTCTTTAAACTCACCAGAAGTTTTTTGCACTGTCTGGTTCATATTTTCGAAGTTGCTACCACAACTATGAGGACTATGAATAAAGAGTTGGGTTTTTTTAAGGAAAAACAGGTTTTTGGAGTAAGGCTTTTCTAACTACCATCATAAATTCAACGCACACCAGTACACAAGAAGCACAGTAACTCAAATAACAGCACAGAACACCATTTCTCGGTGTAAGGAGAAACCAGTATTTCAAAGGGGATTACATAGGTTGTGAGTTTAGTTACTGCTTGAAGATACCCAGCAGGATCCGTTCCCTGCTTTAAAGCATTTATAATCACATTGAAAAAATTATGTATCGTATCTTATCTCTAGCTATGCATAAATAAAAATGAATCCAGGTACATAACCGTAAAAGGTGATGTACTTAATTAAAAGAAAGCATAAGGAAGCCCCTCTTACCTATTATCAGTGTGTTGGAAAATCAGAAGTGAACGTTGTTTTTCCTTTCAGTGTGGAAAGAGAGTTGTGGCCCTCGATGGATCAGTCCTTGCATTATCAATGGGATGTTTTACATGGCTTGGAAGCATGTTCTTGTAGTGCGTTAGGTTAGTTTAGAGTTGAATTTAGCAATGAGAGGGGAGCTGTACAATTGGTTGGAAAATAATCCTCTGCTTTCCTTTTGAAGACTGAAGGTTGTGTCTCGGGGGTACTTAAGGAAAACTATTTGACATTTTGGCCTTCAAAATCGTCATGACAGCGGCTTCAGTCTTTCTGCAAAGAGCAACATAGGACACCCTGCTGTGATCTCCTGAAATCAGGACAGCAAGGCTGATGAAATAGTCTGTGTATCTACTTCATACCTCCACCCCCTCACCCAATCTGTACAAGTGTTTAGGCTACTAACAGGTTTGTTAAATGCCTCCCTTCCCTGAAAGGAAAACAGTAATCTGCAGGATTTTTTTTTCCTTTTTTTTCTTCCTCAATGTTGTTTTACATAAGGCTACAGAGTAATTTTTTTAAAAGCGTTGAAACACTCATGGGAGGATAGGGCGGCTAAAAGTATTTCTACAAATGCCTCCGTTAATTGGTGCAGGTTACTCCCTAAGGACTCAGCGTCAACGATAGGATGCATTCATATGTAATGGGGTTCTTGACCATTAATAAGATCCGCTTTTGATTACATCCATTTTTTAACAGCTGGACCAGTGCTAACTCCAGTGCTTGATATAAATGCTCTCTCACTGTCCAAAAGTACGAGTCTGCACTAGAAACTGTAAAATCAATGGTTGACTGCATTTAGCAGGTTAAGGTGAGAAGGAATAATAGCATAATGTAGCATAATACAGCCTTTTTCATGTCTGAAAAACCGGGTTTACATGGGTTTCTTCTCTCTCGATTAAGCTCTATAAGAAGAGTCCTTATTGCAAACTGTCTGTATTTTTACACTTCTGATACTTCCAGTGGGTCTTGATGCAGATTAGTTTGCATTATCGCTTATCGCTGCTGTGTATTTTGTAGGAATATGAGGACAGGCTCATGATATTAACATTCATAATCACTATGTTTTCAATAGATACGGTGTAGAAGTGTCACTGAAATTGTTTTGTACCACTGTTGTTGTGAAAACCTGAAGATAGTACACTGGCAGAACTTGAAGTGTAAGAGACCTATACTAACTTGCATTTAGTGTTACACCAATTAACAAATTTTTAATAAGATGTCATTATTCAGTGCAGGAAAGTCTAGCACTAGGGTGGAAAAGAATTTTGAGGCTTCTGGTTAGGTATAAAACATTTATCAGCTTGAGAAGGATTTATTTTTTCTTTTAAATTACTCCAGCCAGAAATCATTTTTTATCCCTGAGACTCCCTGAAGTATTAAAAAAAAAATACACTTTCTTTGAAAAGCACTGACCTTGTTTTCTCAAAAGCTCCCTGAGAACCCGAGCTTTGTCTTTCCCATCATCTGTCAAAAGTTCTTTGAGACACACCTTATTTATGATGAAACGCTCAACCTTTCTGATTGCCACACTTTGAGAATTTTAGAAAACAAAAATACATTTCCCCCAAAGTCTATTTAATTCACATTTATTTTACCT